CCCCATGTATGCGCTATGGGTGGGAAGGTCCACACTTATGCTTCAGCATGTACCCTAGAAAGAATCTTCAGGGAGCATACTATTGATCTAATCCAAAACCAACCATGGAGAAGCCCTGCCCACAACATGGCAGTGCACCCACATTGACCCCTCTCCAAAAAGCATCTGTAGAAAAAAAGAGGGGAGGCATAATAAGCCTCTGGAAAATCCAGACTCTTTGGTCAGACATCAGAACATCTTCAGGGAGATCCAAAGCCTGAGAAGGATACCAGCCGTAGCCCAGTGCCAAGCAATCAGTGACTCACCTACATTGGAGACCTCTGGAGACACCCCACAGGTAAGAAACTGTGACGCCAATGAGGCCACCAACAGCACAGAACCCTGGGGACCCCAATCCTGGGCTCTCAGCACTCTCACCTGCATCCTCAGAGACCCTCAGACACCACACCAGTGAGAAAGTGGGACCCCCAACACCTGCAACCTGTGTTCCAAGAGAGGAGGAACAAAAGTTTGGAAGCAATGGGGAAACACTGAATCATCTAAGAAGTTGAGATCAGAAGGTGAAACAAACTAAGTTCGACAGGATAGCGTGCACTGAGCAGATCAGGGGCTCCTGCAGGTCCCAAGCCTGTGACTGGGAAATGAGCTGAGCCCAACAGGGTCTTACCCCGCCGGGATCCACCATCAGATTGACTTGCAGGCACTGGGAGAGTGCAGGCCCTGCATCACTCTTGGAAGCTACGGACCACAACACTCCCCTCTGGAACTGAGAGAGGGAGGACCCCACAAACAGAGGTGAGAAGGACAGCATTTGCAGAGTGGAGTGCAGCTCCTGCATGCCCCAAGCCCTCGCTTTTGGAACTGGACTGAGCCATACTGGGCTGGGGCAGGACCCGCCATCAGGTGACCTGCCAGCACCAGCAATGTGCAGCTCCTGCACCATTGTTGGAAACTAGGGACCCCATAATACCCTCCTAGAACTGAGGAAATACAGAGGACAGGAATCATTGGGGACAGCACCCATCCATATATTCACAGCATCACTACCCTTGTGGAGATGTGGCCCAATAGTGCTGGACTTGGTCTGAATACCAGTTCCCGACATCCCAGAAGGAGCACCCCAGACAGAGGCACGGCAGTACCAGCATCACAGTGTCCCAACATACAGAACAAACTAGAAAACAAACAACAGGGAGAAGGAAAAATACAAATAACCAAGAAAGCCCTCAGGAGAAGGACACACCACAAAAGGGAATAAGCCACCAGAACTCAACAACAATGACATGGAAGAACTTCTCTGCCCACCAGATAGGGAATTTAAAATTGTCATGATTAAAAAACATAAAGAAGACAAAAAGGAAGAAAATGATATGAAACAATTAGTGAACCCAAGAATGAAACTGAAACCTTAAGGAAGGAAATAAAAGAAATGTAGGAGATTCAAAGATCATGGAGGAGCTAAAGAACGCTGGGAAAAGTGATGAAAATACAATTGATGAAATGGAAGAATGAATCAGTGCTCTCGAAGATATAGACATAAAATGAACTAAAACAGAAAAAGAGAAGTACAAAGGAAAAAGAATGAAGAAACACTTTGAGAAATAGATGACTCCATGAGGAAAGGAAATATAAGAGTCATAGTGTTAGAGGGAAAGGATATCCTGAGAGAACTCCATAGAGGCTTTGTGCATGCCACCCCCACTCCATCAAGACACTAGGAACTACAATTCCCATGATCCCCAATGGGAAGTTGCAAGGACCTAAGGGCAGTGTTAAGTAGCCATTTTCTCAGTTTACAAATAAAACCAGCCAGGTTAGTGGGATCTGGGGGCCGTTGGCTCATGCTCTTGGCCAGGCAGGTTGGGTCTCGGTGGGTCATTTGGGATTCCAGATAGGCGGAATGGGTAAGACGCATTTAAGAATTCATCTCCCTCTTTTCTCCCTGAGTTGTACATTTCCTCATTTCCCTTTCCCTTGTAAATAAACCTCTGTTAACCTTTTGTGTGTGCCTGCAGAGTGAGTCCCTTTTCAGCATGCGGGGGGAGGACATACAGTCAAGCAACCCATTTTAGAGCAGGATTGCCCTGTAACAATAGGAATCCCAGAAGTAGAGGTGAGAGAATAAGGAACTAAAACTATTAAGGAGATAATTGAAGAGAACTCCCCAAGCATGGAGATGAGAAAAAAAAATGGACATACAAGAAGCGAGAAGAATACCAAATTTCCATGATGAAAGGAAACTACAGCAAGACCTAATTGTAGTAGGGCTCCCATGAATACAAGGGAGAAATAATGCAGCTGATGAGGAGGAAGAAACAGGTAACATATAAAGGAAAACCAATCAGACTGACATCAGACTTCTCCAAAGAAACACTGCAGGAAAGAAAAGAATGGAGGGACATACTCAACAAATTCCAAGACAACAAATACCAACCAAGAATACTTTAAACTGCAAAATTCTCCTTCCCTGAGGAAGAAAAAAATAAGGAACTTCTCAGACAAACACAAACTCCAGATATTCATTACGACTAAAACACCACTCCAAAAAAATACTATAAGAAGTCCGTAGTATTATGATGAAAGGGGACAATACCTCAAGAAGAAATAACACTCATTAACATTTACTGACCTAATGAAGGAGCACCAAAATATATCAGACAACTATTGTCATCTTTGAAAACAGACATCAGAGAAAACACATATGTAGTAGGAAACTTCAACACACCACTATCAACAATGGATAGATCAACGAGACAAAAAAAAATCAGCAAAGACACTAAAGCTCTAAATAAGGATGTAGAGCACTTGGGCTGAACAGACATCTACAGAACACTAAACCCAAAAAAATCTAAGTACACATTTTTCTCAAGTGCACATGGATCATTCTCCAGGATTGATCACATACTGGAACAGAAGACAAATATCAACAGATACACCAACTTGAAATCATACCAACCATCCTCTCTGACCATGAAGGCATCACACTAGAAATAAACCATAAAAAGAAGGCAAGGAACTCTCCTACCTCATGAAGATTGAAACGCAAACTACTGGAAGACCACTGGACTAATGGGGAGATCAAAGAAGAAATTTAAAAATTCTTTGAGTTGAATGACAAGGAGGACACCAATTTCCTAAATGTATGGGATGCAGCAAAAGCAGTAATAAGAAGAAAATATATAGCAATAGAGGCTCACATCAAGAAACAAGAGAGAACTCAAAGAAACAACCTAATCTCAAAGCTCAAAGAACTAGAAAAAGAACAACAAAAAAACCCTAAACCAGTAGAAGAATGAAATAATAAAAATCAAAGCAGAATAAATGAAATCAAAACTAAAAAAACAAGCCAAAAGATCAATGAACCAAAAGTTGGTTCTTCAAAAAATAAAATAATTAGACAAACCCCTAGCCAGGCTCACAAAGGAAAAATGGGAAAAAGTGCAAATAAACAGGATCACAAATGAAAGAGGAGAAATCACAACGGTCATAGCAGATATCAAAAGAATAATCAGAAACTACTATGAGCAGTTATAAAAAAACAAGTTCAACAATCTAGAAGAGATGGACAAATTCCTACAACTCTACAACCACCCAAGGTTAGATAAAGAAGAAATAGAACACCTAAACAGACCAATTACATGCAGCAAATTGAAATGGTAATCAAAAATCCCCAAAAAAAAAGCCCAGGACCTGATGGATTTACAAATGAATTCTACCAAACATTCAGAGACGAATTAGTGCCTATCCTTCACAACTCTTCCAAAAAATTAAGAAGGAAGGGATAATACCAAACACGTTCTATGAAGCCAACATTACACTAATACCAAAACCGAACAAGGACAACACAAAAAAGAAAACTAAAGGCCATCTCTCTAATGAACTGATGCAAAAATCCTCAATAAATTTTAGCTATCAGAATCCAACAATGCATCCATAAGATTATTGACCACGACCAAGTAAGATTCATTCCAAGGACACAA